GATTCATCTCTAAGTTTAACTGGTTCTTTGCTTATTGTGCTGAGTACTTTGGTTTTACTCATGCTAATACCCAGACATTTAAAAGGGTTTAGCAAACAATGCTCATCGTTGCAAACCACTGCCAAAATGTACGGCCCCTCTCCCATTTTGACAATGCCATGGTATCTGAAACATAATCCTCCATCGTGTTCATGTTCTTCTTCACCCTATAACTATAGTTCTGCTGGACACGTTATTACTGGTGACGTAAATATAGTTAATAATGAGGACCTTAGATCATTAATTTTAAAAGGTCCTAAATATAGGGAACCCCGATCCTTCAACTGGCGTCGGAATTTCATAAATATTATGAATTCTGTAGAGGATTACGCCATGCAGGCGATGGGCCAGACATGTAAAAGAAGACTTTGACACTTTGTCAGAATGGATTAAATGTATCAGATGTATGTTAAAATCGCGCATTTAAAGATTGAGGGGCAATATGAGGACCATCTATTCTTCTGTATTCAATAATCCAGAAGTGAAAAAAGAATTAGAAAGATTACATGATCAGTACGTACTGGTCCCTGCTGACAAAGCAGGTAACAACATTGTCTTTGTTTGTAAGGCTCATTATATTAAATGTATTTTAGAGGAACTTGGATTTAATTCTACAAGTGGTAATCCAACTTATACTCATAGTTCCCCTTCTAAGGACGAAATTCTTCAAAATCATATGTCAGTTTTGAATATTTTTAATATTCCAAACAACCAAAATGAATTTGAATTACCATATCTATATTGGATTCCGAAACTTCATAAAAATCCTTACAAACAAAGGTATACATAGCGGGTTCCAGTAAATGTTCAACCAAGCCTCTTTCTTTACTCCTCACTAAGATATTAACAGTAGTGAAGGAAAAACTTCAAGAGTACTGTGTAACAATATATTCGAGAAGTGGTGTAAATCAGATGTGGATACTTAAAAATTCCAAGGAACTTTTGGAAAATTTGAAATCACAAGAATTTACCAAAATCAACAGCTTAAAAACTTACGACTTTTCAACTTTATACACAACCATTCCCCACGATAAATTAAAGTCCAGGCTTTTTGATATCATTGACAGCTGCTTTTTCAATAAAAATGGAACTCGTAAATTTACTTACCTTATCATTGGTCATTTGCAAAATTATTTTGTTAAAAAACATTCTGATTGTACACACAAGTACTCTGAAGTTGACATTAAAAAGATGCTTGAGTTTCTGATTGACAATATCTATGTGATTTTTGGAGACCAGGTCTTCCAACAATCTATTGGAATTCCCATGGGTACCATTTGCGCCCCGTTATTAGCAGACCTTTTTTTTGCATTCATATGAAGCAGATTTTGTCCAAAATCTTATACATGAGAAGAAGAAAACACTTGCTGTGGCCTTCAACTCGACATTTAGATATATCGACGACGTATTGTCAATTAACAATGGTTATTTCCATTCTTATGTCGATACGATATATCCCGGTGAGCTTGAGATAAAAGATACCACAGAGTCTGACACACCTGTTTCATATTTGGATATTTTACTTGAAAAAGACGTTAATGGTAATCTAACAACCAAGCTTTATGATAAACGTGATGACTTTAACTTTTCAATCGTCAACTTCCCTTACTTATGCAGCAATATACCTTCATCACCTGCATACGGGGTTTATATCTCTCGGTTGATTCGATACGCAAGAGCATGCTCTACGTATGTACAATTTCTAAAACGAGGTAAATTACTGACAAACAAGTTGATGAAACAAGAATATCAGCAGTCATCATTTCGTAAGTTCTATGGTCGATACAATGACCTTGTCAGCAAATACAATTTATCTTTGAGTCAAATGCTGACTGACGTTTTTTCATACTAATTGTTAGGCCATTATTTACACACTGAATTGTCGACGGATTTTTCCGTTATTTCCCGATCATGACAAGGAGCACACGGCGGGTGTGACCAGTCGGCAGGGGATGCTCACACCTCCATGGCATCTGATCCCACTTCTGATGTTTTGGAGGTCTGTGTTTGCTCTGCTCCTATTTTGTATTGTTTAACGGACTTTTGAGCTTGAATACTGTTCGTTATCTCCATATATTTCATCTGCAAAGTCCAGGTTACGAAACTGTGCCCATGGGTTCGATTCTATTTCATTCCTTGGTTTGATTTGTTGATACTAAATATTTCATGATTTAATTTAAGGCGAGGGGGATGAGAATAGGCTGACGAAGTGATCCTTGTTTGGCACTTGTTTATACTTCCATGAATGATTTGCAGGTTAATACATATTTTCTGATAGGTTTCCAGAGGGTTACCATGAAATGATTCGGCCATGATTTCTGTTCTTTAATAGCTTGGTGAGGATTCTTTCCAATCAAATACCATCTGTTCCTGTTTGGATTATGTCCAAAACATTTCTTTGCCTGTCTTCCAAGTTGCCTTGCCATCTTCGAGCTATTTCATTGCCTTCCTAGTCTATATTTATAAAAAAAAAAACTTCCTTTCTTGATTTTAATCTAGGAATCATATTCCTTAACGTTTTTACAATTTTATTTTTAAATATGTATGATCTTAACTTGATAATATTAGTATGGAATGAAAAAGTAAGCGGTAAAACGGTAGGAAAACGAAATTAAGTTTGAGGAAGAAATAACTAGATGCTGTCTTTAGACAGTAATAGCTGCAAGTAAGACATGTACTCTCCTTCGAACCTGGGTAACTAGTCAGGGCATATATTTTTGAACCAAATTGATCTCCTGGATGAAAATGAAATTTCAATTAAAAACTTTATTGTTCATCTACAGGACAACACCAATCATATTCCAAAAGAAGACTCGACTGTATTCGTAAATTTTAAGATGAGTTCTGGGAGCTAGAAGGTTATTGGTTTTTGTAAAAAATAAAAAAAAATCCCCCCCCCCCCCCGTTACATTCTTTAATGAAAACAAAACTTACAGAACACAACCATTCATATTCCAAAGGATGATTTGGGTACTATGTAAAGTGTAAAAAGAATTCTAGGAATCAGGTTTTCTACCCAAGCTGTAAAGGGGCTTGATTTATCTTAAACGATGCTAGGTCATCAATTTATTTGGTTTAAACATCCGAAACTATACTAGTATTAATAAAGTAAATAAAAACTAATTATAGACGATAGTGACCAACTAAATAAACTGTATGACAAACATGATGACTTCAGCTTTTCCTTTGTCAACCTCCTTTATTATGTAGCAATATTCCAACATCAACTGCATATGGTGTTTATGTCTCCCAACTGATTCGATACGCAAGAGCGTGTTCTGAGTACGATTAAATTTTAAACCGAGGCAAGCTACTGACAGATAAGTCAATCCTCCATCCAGATAATCTATCATGAGGTCTTTATACACATGTATATATCTGAGGCTTTTTCTTTCATTTGCCTTCATTCACCGCTCCTCCCATGGCACGGTCAGCTCTATAACGATTATTGTCTTTGACTACCTTGAGAGTAATCCAGCCGCAAGTTGTTCCCACAATGTAAAACTAGCTTTCTCACTAGATCCACCTTCGGTTCCCTTTCTTGTTCTCTATCCGGCAAAGGTTTAGAATTGTCCGTGTTTTCAGCTGTGGACTCCCCAGCCATGCTTATCTAAATCTGCTTCTAACTCACCTTTTCCTCCTCCCCACTTCCAGCACACTTGCCAAGTCAAGCAACACCTTGTCATGTCTCCATCCTTTGCCTCCCATGAGTCAGCGTTGCCTGGCGGCGTGCCATTGTCCCTCTCTTCCCACACAGTTTGCAGCTTGGGTCTGGGATAGCCTCCACTATTGAATGACTTACAGGAGAAGGAAGTGTGTCACACTATACACATACATTAGGCTCAGAAAGAAAGCAACTCTGAAAAAAAAATTTTATTTCACAATTCTGACCATGTCAATTGTTTCAGTTTATACCATGTAATTAAAATTGATCAATTTAATAGCAAAATTGAGAATTTAAAATAAGATAGGCCTAAACAATAAATTAATTTTAAAGTGTGGGATACTATCCCTTACTGAATACATGTAATCCAAATAAGTACTATACTTTGCTTACGTTTTATTTCCTACTAATCCAAAAATAATTTCAGTATAAAAAAAATTATTCCCTGTTCTAACTATGGACTAAATCACTTGTCGCCCGCGCGTGGCGCAGTGGATAAAGCGTTCGCTCTAGAGTCGCGGAGTAAGGAGTTGATCCATACGTCGTGGGTTCGAATCCCACTGTGGGACGTGGAGACCAGTCCTTCGGATGAGACCGTGTCGCAGTAGGTGCTGGCACGAAAAAGATCCCTCAATGCTCAATGGCCTTGAGTGCCGAGTATAGGTCAAAATTTGCAGCTCTCCTCCGGCAAGTGGTGGCGTCTCCACATGAGTGAAAAATTCTCGAGAGGGACGTTAAACAATAAACAACCAACCAAACAAAACTATGGACTTTTTAAAATTTTTTGGTCTTATATCGACTTCATGATAATATTTCAATTTCAGTTTGCTAAATTAACCAGCTATAGGAATAAAAAGTTTTGTCATTAAATATGAATTGAACATGTAAAGGTTGGATATATTTAGAAGTCTCCATTACTAAGAATACTTTATTGCATTTCACACCAACAAAATAAAATTATAAACCAAGATTTATGATCACCCCCACCCCTTTCCCCATTATTTAAAAACCAAATATACATTTTGATAAAATATATAAATGCTTCGATCGTTAATTGTGCTTAACTTGTGCACAATATTCATTTAAGTTAAAATGTAATAAAAAATATTAAGCGTACTCAGAATAATGAATAAATGATCAAACACAAAAGTTCACTATTTATGCGAAAATAAATGTGGATCCGCTCCTTTTGGTTTTTATTATCACTTTTTTAATTGGTCGAAACAACTATGACGTTGGAAGACCAGCGGGTTTTATATAGGGGAATTCCCTTTTGATGTCATATTCCGCTTGACCAATCAAATTATCTTCCGGATGTGTACAATCTGTAGAGAGAAAAAGGGAAACGCAGCAAACAAGAAGTCTGCTGGAGATATCTAAAATATTTTGGAATATAGTGATTTTTAACGGCTTCAAACGAAAATGAAGGATCTACAGGTTGATCCGACAAGTACTACGAGTTTGCAGGCTCGTCCCGTGAACGATAGCAAGTTGTCAGAAGGTATATATTGATTAACTTATTTTTGTGCTTTCAGTTTTACTTTTAGATCTGTGTATTGTGTCAGTGACAGCATAGCCGGCGGCATAAAGTGCAATCGGCTGTAATACATTGGAAGATACATATATCATTTATTAATTATTTATCATGTCTTTATGTTCTTTATTATCGTAAGTTTTCATGTCGATGGTCACATTGTCTCAGGTCAGTGAACTAATCTTGCGCCTTACATTTATATTTATTTATTTATTTATTTATAGGCCTATGGCTATGTAGAGCATTATTATGGTGATCACAACTTTTGTAATGAATAACTGTAATAACATTGCACTGAAAGATGTTTTCAGTCATTAAGACTGTCTCCAATTGCACTTAAAATATACACAGACATTTTTTTAAAAAGATCGATCTATTCCATTTTCAGAAAATCAAATGTAATATCTAAAAAAAAAGAAAAAAAAACCCTTGCAGATTAAACCCATGAATAACAGAATGGGGTTTCTGTACTAGATTTATTTCCCTTGGATAGCCCAGATTTGTTGGTGACTTACTCAGTAGGAAGCAATTAAACAAACAGGATTAATTAATTAGCATATAAATCTTAAACCTGTCATCACTTGATGTATTTGCTTATGTTTGTGAAAGCAAGTGAAATCATAGGTAACAGAATTCTGATTCAAAATGAAATGAATTATTATGCAAAATTTATGGAAATAATCACATTAATTACCTAGTATCATGATTGTGTCAGTATTTGAAAACTTTATGACGTACTGTGAATAACACTCTTTAAAAACAATGATAAAGTACTGCGGCCTGTAGTGTAATGAACAAAAGTTTTATTAAAATAACCACAACACTGTTAAAGCTAGAAATGAAATAGAAGTAAAAACAAAAGTGGGAGCAAAAAAAATTAGGGAAGGTTGTTTTTTTTTTTTAATTTTTTTTATTTATTTATTTTTTTTTTTTTATTTATTTTTTTTTTTTGTTTACAGAAAATGAACATCTGATTGTGAAAGCACTGTAGTTCAAAAATTATATAAATAACAAAGCTGGTAATTACTGCAAATGTCATTGAATGAAGGGCAAGAAGTATAAATAAAAGAATAATAAAATAAATAAAAGGGATTCTTTAAACCAAAAACAAAGAAACAAAATAAACTATTAAAAAAAACAATGTGCTTATCTCTATATATTTTTTTTTTACCAAAATCAGGAGAAAACACAGGTTTTGTTTTGTCAAACTATCTGTATGTCTAATAGTCAAACTTTTTTGTCCGACTTACAGAAAATATTTGATAAAAAGTGTATCTGTAAAGTAGAGTGTGTTTAATTTCAGAAAGAAATACCTGATTATGAGAGAAGTTTATATATAGATAAGATGCATGTAAATATTAAATAACAAAGTTTGTAAAGATACAAATCACTGCAAACATAATCTGCTACTATTATACAATTATTTAATACGAACGAAAAGTTCTATAGTACAAATAAGTGAAAATAAATTAGAAGTTGAATTTTAAAACCATATCAAAAACAAAACAATTAAGTATCTTGTTAAGTACTGCGAAATCACGAGAAAACATGCAGGTTTTGTCATTTTAGACTGTCTGTATGTCTGTTAGTGAAACTATTGTGTCTGACATGCAAGATGTCTGTTGCCAATATCATGCTTTGATGGTTAAAGAATATAAATTTTATAATTACTTTGGCATCATTAAGTAAAGGGAAAACACTAAATTATGTATTGAACAAAATCTTATAATTTTACTTTGCAAATCTTAATTATTTTGGATGATTTTAGTCCCAAGTATGTTGTATCCATGACCTTGATTCAAGGTTTAAAGGCCACAATTAATTTGAAAAAGAGGGATTGAGGGGACATCTTAGTAATGTGTACAATTAATATTGCACGTAACACAAATTTAATATCTGCTGACTTCTGCCTTGTACAGGATGGTGTACTCTGTGCTTGTGCAATAGGAAGGGGGGGGGGGCAAATCTGTAATGTAGTTTATGTATATCAGTAAATCTTAAAGAACTTTGAAATGTTTGGATTCCTACTTAAAATTTGGTAACATAGGTATTAAATGAGGCTTTATCATTTTAAACTAAATAAAAAAATGTTATGGTTTTTATAAGTGAAGAATTAAGTTGACAGTACATGTAAATTTAATATGACGATTATTCTCAGATACTTAATAATCTAAATACCTAACACTAATTATCACAAAATCTTGAATCCATATTATGCATCTTAATTTATAAATTACCATATAAACAAGATATATCAGGACTTAACTTTGCCGTATATCTACTGGGTGTATACTTCAGTTGAATTTTAAGTCTGAAATATGCCCTAATTGAACATTACTGAGAATGGGTGACTAGGTCTTTTAATATGTTAGTCTGGGAGATCTATACATTAGTCCATCATGCACTGTGTGTTATCTGAAGGTTTCTTTAAATTTGATAAAGCATCAAAAGAACAAAGAAAATTAAAAAAAAAAAAAGAAAAAAAAAGAAAGAAAGAATATTACCGGTAATGGTACCTTAATCTAACCTTTAGTTTTCATGCAATCATTTATATTCATTATCACAAGTGGTTGATTATCATCTATTCCATTGTTATGAAACTCATCCAAAATTGGGGACCAAAAGGGCCCTTTATGTGTCTTTGTTTTTTAAGTGTGTAAAATAACTTTAAAAAATATAGTATCTTTGAAAATGTCCTAACCAGGCACAGGCACAGATCCAGGGATTTTTTTTTCCAAGAGGGTGTTTCCACCCTAGTCCAAAAAAAAAAAATCCAATCCAGAAATTTGTTATTTGCTGACAAGTAAAAAAAAAAATAAAAAAAAAAAATAAATAGATAAATGTAAACTCCTTTCCCAAACATGATAAAAATATTTTGTATGGAGATGGGGAGTGGGGTAGATTGTTTTACTTTCCTTCTTCTCTTATGACTCTTACTACGAACTTGAAGGGCTCCCCATTTTCTGGGGGGGGGGGGGGGGGTGTCTGAGGTCATTTTTAGTTGCTTAACTTATACATATACTAACTCCGCAAATCTAGGCGGAGGGGGGTCTAGACCCACTGCTCCCCCCCCCCTCCAGATCTGCAGGCAGCATAATAATATATATATTAATACTCTACAGTATTATACTGTTTAGATAGGAAGGCTTTTTAAAAAAAGGTTGTCTGTTGTAATGTAAGTACATTGTACAGATAACTGATCTATTAGATGCATTATATCGAAGTTCAATCACCTGACTGACCATGCACTGAGGGCAATATCTCATATGGTTCTTGTAAAAGACACATGTAACATAAATAATGGTTAGCATATATTTAGGTGACAGTGATAAATTGTTCTACACTGCATGATGATGGAACTTATTATATGCAGCAATTTTACATTAATAATTATATTCAACAGTTGTCTAATGCATATAGATGTGTAATTAGGTAAATGTTGTACAAAACAAAGTTTTAAAAAAAAAAAAAAAAAAGAATCAACCGACTCCCTTACCATAGACATATGGTGAAGAGATGACTTTTAAAGGTTCATTGACTCTCAGATAAGAGAGATAACTTTCACTGTGATAAATGACTACTGTATAGGGGGAAAATAACTCGCGGTGTTAATATTCGCTATATTCACGGAGTTAATAAATCCGTGAATTCAAGAAACAGTGAATAAGTTTTCAATAACCTCCATGTTATATTTGGAAATTTAAGAATAGCATACGATAGGTATTTATACGTGTAGTACATGGTCATTTCAGTGATTACGAGTCGCACTTGTCATTCAATTAATTTAATTATCACGCTTTACTTTAATTTAGATCAGCAGATAATAACCTGTATTTGTTAAAAAGCTGTTTTAATAGCTAACGCTACATGTTTTATCAATCAAAACACGTGGGTCATGGGTTTTGATTACCCGTGCGTAACTATGTTACCACGTGTAATTGTTACCTGCACTATCATACGTATTAGTTTTTATCGACATTTTAGTTTTTAAAAATCATTCAAATAATATCGAACATGCTGAAGATGTGGAAGGATATTATTTCATCGACCTACATTAACACATTTCTTACCGTCCAGCAGCTGTTCAGTTGTTTTTCACAGCGATGTATTATCCCTTCGGAAAGAAGATCTTGGGGTGTCGTAATAGCATATAGGAAAGTCACTCGATGTTTATAGTCAGGGACTTTAAATAACTAATTAATTATTAAATCTAACTATTTTATATAAACATACCCTGTGAAGTGAATACATAACGCTGATTAATGTCGTTCTAGCTATGCTATGGATTAAACGGATAGAGACAAGGGAGGTAACTTATTATAAACATGTACCGATTCCGCGAATTCAACAAACCGCGATCGTGTCAGGGGAGAGAAAAACGTGAAAATTACAACCCGTGAAATTAATCCCCTATACAGTATTACATGTATTATGCCCCCCCCCCCCCAACAAGTTGTGGGGCGTATAATGTTTTTGACCGGTCCATCATTCAGTCAGTCCGTCATCCGTCAGTCCTGTTTTTTTGTCAGCACAACTCTTTTTAAACCGCTGCACAGACTTTCGTCAAACTTTACAGATATTTAGGACACAGTGTGTAGATGTGCATATTACCAGGAAATTTCAATTCCATTATTTTTCTTGGAATTTGGGCACTTTTCATCTGAGATTTTTGACCCTATTTTGAATATAGAGATGAGCATTTGTCAGTGCAACTCCTCTTAAACCGCTACACAGAATTTTGTCAAACTTTGCAGATATTTAGGACACAGTGTGAAGTTGTGCATATCGCAAGGGAATTCCGATTCCGTTATTTTTCTGGGAATTTTGGCACTTTTCAACTTAGTTTTTTGGCCATATTTAGAATATAGAGATGAACAGTTTGTCAGCGCAACTCCTCTTAAACCACTGCACAGAATTTCGTCAAACTTTGCAGATATTTAGCACACAGTGTGTAGATGTGCATATTGCCAGGAAATTCCAATTCCATTATTTTTGCCCTTAGAATTTTTGCTTTTATTGAAGAAACTTTCCAGCTAATATAAGGAAATCCACTGGAATCAGCTTTTGTAATGAAATTTTATGTGAAATATTTTATGACCCCTATTGATTATTATTCATTATGTGTTGCATTGTCAAGTTTTGGGAGAGTGTGGGGTATGTGAGCTCGCTCACTTTTTCTTTCATTCCCTTATAAAATTGTGAGGGTGAAATGCCATTTCAATGTCACATTTCACATCATTTTAGGTATGCTGAAATTGTGTACAATTTGATTATAAATTAGATTACTTTTGGAAAATAATTAACATTAAGCAAAATTTTTCATGCGTGAACAGAGGGAAAATGTACCTTAAAGTAAAGGATTTCTGAAATATTTTTTTAATGTCTTTTTTTAATTTCATAATTACAGTGTGAATTTTGTCAACTTGGATAAAACTGCCTGTTGTCAGATAGGAGATATATAAAAAATCATGTTATATTTAAAAAAATCCTGAGTCATGTTTAAAGTTGTCATAATCATTAATCATTGTCTTACTCCTAATATCAAGTTGTAACTGTTGTTATTTTATGTTTTACATTCATCGCAGATTAAGATGAAAGAAGAGCTCACAAAATCTACCATCTTGTAATTTTGCATCGACGATGGTAATTTTGGTGGTGATGGGTGGTAGTGGGAGGAAGGGGGGGGGAGGGGTAGGGGTGCATCTGAAGGAAGTTGCTTAAAAATGTTTTTCCATTGGTATAGCTCTGGCACTGCTATTCTATAGTTGCCCTCGTGATGCAGTGGTTAGAGTGTCTGCTCTAGAGTCGCGAAGAAAGGAGCTGATCCTTACATAGGGGTTTGAATCCACTGTGGGATGTGGGGACCGGTCCTTTTGGTGAGACCGTATAAACCGAGGTCCCAGTAGGTGTTGGCACAAAAAAGATCCCTCACTGCTCAATGGCCCAGAGTGCCGAGTAAAGGTATAAATTTGCAGCTTTCCACCAGCAAGTGGTGGTGTCTCCATTATATGAGTGAAAAATTCTCGAGAGGGACATTTAACAATAAACAAACAAACAAAAAAGCAATTCCATATTTTTTTCTTCTTAAATACTTTACTTTACTTTAAGAGTAACCTGGTATATATATAATGAATGGGCAAAATGGGAATTTAGTGTCCCAATACTACAAATACTGTCACCCACGTGGTGCAGTGGTTAAAGTGTCTGATCTAGAGTCATGGAGTAAGGAGCTAATCCTTACGTCAAGGGTTCGAATCCACTGTGGGACGTGGAGACCGGTCCTTTGGGTGAGACCATATAAACCATGCCACAGTAGTTGTTGGCATGATTCCTCACTGCTCAATGGCCCAGAGTGCCAAGAATATAAAGGTATAAATTTGCAGCCCGGGTCCACCAGCAAGTGGTGGCATCTCCATATGAGTAAAAAATTCTCAAGGGGGACTTAAACAACAAACAAAGTGCACTATCCATTACAGTTTTACACATCAATTGAAATGGCAAGGATATATGTAATTATTTTGTTGGAATAAAATTTATGCATGTGCAAAACACCCCAATTCAATTAAAAATACTTTGCTTGAAGTTAAATATCTCCAATGACAGGGCATCAGGTATCTTAATTGATCAGTCAGGTTATATCCAAGGTTATTTCATTCACTTTCTAGGATGTTCTTGATTCAAAATACTATGACACTTTGGTATTCTCTAAGTTTGCTTGGTTACTGATTTGTGAAGGAAAGAGGGAGGGGCAATTACATTTGGTGCATTACATATTACATGTATGTATATTTGAATAACTGGTCTGTTGGCCATACATGTATGTTCATTTATCAGCTTGAACTGTGTGTTCATGATTGTCATCATGCCCAATGTTTAATACAAATAAGACATATGAATATGGACATTCAGCATTATAAAGCTGTAATCCCATTGAAATACATGTATTAAATATGGTGGCAATTTAAAATTTTAATTATACTGGTATATAGTCTGAACACTTGATCCACAGGAGACCTGAAAGAACTCTACCGATTCTCGCTCACATTTGTTACGATATATAGGATACTTTTTAATGGTTGCAAATAGGACAACTTGACTTAAGGACACTCTATACACCAGTTGTTTTTGGACATTGAGAAAATTATATTGTATAATGCTGTAAATTTGGAGCTTATCTATTCAATTTTCAATATATGGTAAGTGGGATTAACCCCCAAGATAAAAGTCCAAAGACAACAAAGTATCTATGAAAAGAAATCACTGTTATTTACTTCATTGGAAAAAATATTTACCTGTACACAAATAAACTAAGGATCAAATTTCTTAATATTAAAGTTGCTGTTGCTGCTAATTAAGTTTCAAGTCCAGGGGGTGCTTTTCTCTTTCTTAATAAAAAAAAAAAACCCAGTAGAGCTAGAGTCTCATCAAAGACTTCTGCTTCATGTTAATATTCAAAATGTGATGACCTTTCAGGAAATTTCACCTGTCTACTGTCAATTTCTCATTTTCTAATACATGTATTAATTTATGAAACCCAATGGCATCCATATTTTTTTTTTACTATCCTCCAATAGAGGAAAGCAGACTTTTTAATAGGAAATAAGGTGTCAACACGTAATACATTGTCACTATTTAAGCACAGTTCTGAACAAATATAACAATTTTTGAGCATTTTTAAGTGGAATAAAAAAAGAAAATAAGTATCCTGCATTTCGGAAGTATTACATGTAAGCTACAAAAACTACTGCATTTACATCCTTAACTAAATCTGCCTATAAAATTTAATTCTGTAATGGAAAGAATACTTTTAAAGAGGCATGCTGCCACGTAACACTTTGTTATGTAGATTTTTGGTCCCTGGCAAACGCTGAAATACTGTTTTGTGTGCTGAATTATTGTATTTGTCAGGAATGACAGAGGTTACATGTATCTAAGAAGTTTAAAACCATGGTAATTACCTTTCATCTCTGGTTTGTAATTGGTGAACAGCTTTGTGTTTTATTAGTTGTAGCCCGTCAACTGGGACTGTCTGTTTAATGAGTCTCTCATCTGCCCACACTAAGGATCAGTACATGTTGCTAGGATTTGGGCTGAAGTCAAGTTTAAGAGGACTTTTTACAAATGGACTGACAAAACTTTTATTTTTAATGGTAAATTTTAAATAAAAGTTAGTCTGTCATTAAGCTTTGCAGCAGACAAAATAGGGGGACATGTTTTGAGAACTAGACTGTCATGCAGGCATAGGTTTCTACCGAAATGATCTGTATCGGTAAGAATGAAAAAAAAATGTTTTATTTAAATTTTTTATTTGCAAGTTTTAAAGTCATTTTATTAAATGTGTACTTTTGCATTATAGTTTTTTCTAACCTACCTAATTATCCTTTTTCCAGAACCTCTGTTTTTGAATTGCATTATTGGAATGCAGGTTTTTGTAGATACTTATAGGCTTTCTTTGATTAATACTGTACTGGATGATACTCCATTATCTATGGGAGAGTTCCAATGGCAATATATTGACGTGTAAAGCTTTTAGTCAACTAATTTTTGAAAATTATATTTTTTTGTTTTTAAAGAAAAAAGGCTTTTGGTCACAATAGTTTTTCATGAATTATTAATTCATTAAGTGTGTTATTTTACTATGGTGTCATTATCCTTGCATTTAATCTTCCATATAAGTAAAGTACAGTAAAAATTTCTGTATGCCTGCAGTCATGATCAAAATTTAAAAGCTCTGAGCTTTATAATCCTATCGTGATTTGAAAAAAAAAAGAAAAAAAAAACTTGAGGGATGAAAAATTGTGAAATTTAAGTGCTTTATGGGGAGATTATATATTCAGGGTTTAAGTTAGAGAAGTTCTAAAATTTTATGAAGCAAATTCTTTGCAACACCCTGTACGAAATTGTACGCCTGGTAATAACACGTAAACCAGGCGTCATGCTCTGCAAAAACCAGGCGGATTTTGACTCAATACCATATAAGTAAACCAGGCGTCAAATGAGACGGAAACCAGGCGTAAAAAGAGGCGTAATATGCAAATTTTACGCCTCTTCAATAGACCAGGCGTAAAAGATCGTACTGTCCAGGCGTAAAAATGTCCAGGCGTAAAAAAGTCCAGGCGTACAGTACACAATGATATATACAAAATACATTACATGTTTTGAAAACTAAGTATTTATTTTATCAAAACATCCATATCTTAGTATCAATTTAAATAACATTCAAAGGCAGTTTTTCTTAACATTTTGATGGACAACAAAATGTCATTCAAATAAACTTTACATTAATAAATCTTCCCATTTAAGGAAAATTCAAAATTTGTATTATACAAAAATTATAAATTATCTTGAAAATACAGTGTACCAATCTCTGATGACTTTGTATTACAGCAGAGATGCTTATAATGAATTCATGGTTATAGTGATTTTCATTTCCTTAAATTTTAGAATATTGCTGTGAACTTAATGGATACAATGAACTACGCCTAATCAAAATTGTTCATTCATTGTACTTCGCAATAAGTGTGTTTTACATTAGCTTATCTTGTATCGTGCACTGAGCTCTTCTTAGCATTCTCATATTTTTCTTTCCCATGTTCCTTTTTAAATTTTTGTCCTGCAATGAGACTTGCTCTGTGATGGCATTGTTCAGTTCTTGGTTCACTTTTTTTCTTCTTTTTCTCCACACCACTAAAGGGCATAACCTGAAGGAAAATTGTAGCCATGCTTTAATGTAGGTCTGAAATCACATGCATTATGTCCAACAAGATCAGTATTTACAATTAGAGAAAAAAAATTGTTGTATTACATAATGGGTTGACAGGAAAACAAACAGACAGACCAAACACAATATATCCCCAATCCTTCAATTGGGGGCATGAAAATCTTACCCCTTCAGATATTCCAGGGGGTGAAATATCCTGGTCATTCTCCCTTGGTTTTTCTGAAGAAGGAGGATTTGGACACAGGAAGCCTGCTTCTTGATTATCTGGATGATAGGAATAGAAATATATATATATATATATATATATATATATATATATATATATATATATATATATATATATATATATATATATATATATATATATATTGGGTATGAAAAGTTTCCGATCCACCTATGCATTGTAGCAACCCATTAAACATCACCTTAACCATGTTAACATGGTCAGCTTATCAGAAAGTGCACTCTATTTGTTATCACGACAGCTTTTGATTAAAATTACTGTAATTATTTTGTCTAGTAAAATTTTTAAGACAGCCACCGCGCCGTGTGGCAAATTTATAATTCATACCATCATACGGTGACATACCATGTTGTGATCCATGCGACTTTATATTTCCCTCATCTTGAACCCGACTTTTTAGAAAAAAAAAGGTGGAAAATGCCTCGTATATTTTTTGTTTTGTATATATTTTTTCGAAATGATAAATACTAAAAATGATAATTATGCGATAGAAAGATAATTAAAAAAAAATCATGGGGTATACAACAGCAGTAGTTTACAAATTCGACAGGTCTCCATGTGTAAACAAACACGCATGCTACATGTAATCTAATCATTAACCATGTTAACAGAATGATTTTAAAAGCACATTTCTTAAATTTTTATAGATAATACTATATGATATATTTCAAAGTGTTAACCTCGCTGGAGTATGAAAATCTAAAAAATTCTTACCATTGATGATGGGGCCATGAATGATGGTATCTCACTTCGAATTCCGTCCTTATTGTCAACGTTTTGTCTTTTTCTCCCACGACAGTCAAACTGCAATCCTCATCGAAGTATTTTCACTTTCAAGTAAAACCAAGTTGTCAGAAACAAGTAGAAATCGGCAGGGCAATGTTTCTTTCAAAGCAACAGAATTTGAAATGACCATGCGGGCGGGATTTTGATAGCGTGGGATATCAAGTTTCTGCAGCCCCGGTTCGAAGATGCTCTACTGTTGAGGTTCACGACGGGATCGATACAAAAGCTATTACAAACTTTCCTCCAAAAACGTCTCTCAAAATAATAAAATGCGTTCTTTTAGTATTAATTCGTCGAATTTTTTTTAAGATGCAAAATCAATGTGTAGATCAATAAATTTCACTGAGATCATTTTGTAAGGCGATTCCCCTTGGCCTCTGAGAAAACACCTTAGTTTACAGTTGTTCTCGGGGGTGCACGATGTTTCGGGACCACGACGTTTCGGGACCTGACTAATACGACGGTTCGGGACTAGCAACAAGACGGTTCGGGACTTGGGTGAAGACGATTCGGGACTTGAGTTAATTTTTTTCGGGATCTAAACAAATTATTTTATTATGGTGATATAGCATATTATTCTAATTACACATAGTACGTAATATTTCAAGCTAAATCCGAATTTTAATTTTTATAATAAAAATTGTCATAAAGATATACTTTGATGGGGTTTTTTTCATAACAGACGAAGAAGAATAAATCTTTACAATATTCATTTTTATTTCTTTTTATTTTTTTATCATTTTTTTATTAGTTATTTTTTCTTGTGTGTGTGGTGATGGGGGGGGGGGGTCCAAAATTTAATCTTCTCAGGTTGATGATAGATATTTTAAAATATTCAAGTGATCTCCAGCTACCGTCGAATATATCTTTAAAAAACATGTCAGTAAATTGTTAAAACAACAACTGGGATCAGGTACACATATGCCAACTGATACTCTGTACATAGGGAGGTGTTACATTGGAAAATCACGGAATAACCAAACAAAATAAAAGAAGGTTACTTACGGAAAGCGTTTGTAAAATTTAGCAAATAACAAGAACAGGAATCTTTGATTGCGAGAAAACTGTAGAAGATTCTAGGAAACTGTTATCGGTAAGTATTTTACAGTTTAAAAAAAAAAGATCGACCTACATATATCGGGATCGACAATCAATTTAATAGAATGTTACTTCCGTTTTACAGATTGCAACCCGAATTATCTCGAAACAAATCGACTCTGAAGTTAGAAGACGAAGGCGCAGAAATAATCATCATGAGCGAGGTAGGTCACCTTAAATAACATTGTTTTGTTTTGTTTTGTTTGTATCGCTTTACTATTAGATTAAAAATTATTTACTTTTTGCAAGTTGCAGGGACGTATATAGATCCCTGCTACTTGATCAGCTGTTGATGATCATACAGTACATGTAAAGCAAGAGAAAAAAAAAATACGAATGAGTTCTCATCGATTTTTTTTTCTCAATATGTTTAAAGAAAATTAATTTTTTTTTTGTTCATATTGAATAGCTTGTAACAATACAACCTACACACCAATTTCTGGTTTTTAAAAAATTAATATATATATCTTAGTCGATTAAATTAATGTTCACTTGCATGCATTTGATTAACTGGATAATAGTAGTGTTTTATTCTTGAATTAGATGTCTGACCATGAAGAGTCTGAGCTGGACGATTTGATGAGTAACATGACAACATTTAAGAAACAAAGAACCCCAACTGCCAAAAAGATACATAAAATTTAGTGATGAGGATTTTTCTGATAATGAAGAGGAAGTATTCTCTTTTCTGATTTATCTGATGAAGAGGAATACATTTTGGATGATATCACTGAAGAAATTGCAATGTTACGGAGCATGATGATCAAGACTTCCAACTTCATTCTTTGCTCTGTAACATCCGTATTTCAATAAGAGTTACATTCATGTTAGTGCTTGTTGTGATTTGCACTAATAATAGATGATGAATCCAACAACTTTTGAACATAATTTCAGATGTGATGCTAGCAGAACACATTTTATATACCATTTGACATATATGCATTTAACAGTTGTCCAAAAAAAAAACAAAAAAAACTAAGGAACCTTTGTGACGGTGTTTACCACTTTTATTGTCATCGTTGTTTGGGGGCCAATAAAATGTTGATTGTGTCATCTGTCTAAAGGAATTTTTTCAAACACCATTCAAGAAACCAAAAACTTCTTTCTGGAAATACCTGTTATAAATCTACTCCACAATCTATTATTTTTCCAGATGGATTTTTTTAAAGCAAAATGCAAGTGTGGTTTAACAGAAATATAGCTGGTGGAACTTATAAGGGCATCTGTGATGGGACTGTAATTTCAGCTAGAAATTATCTTAGCTCAACAATGATGTTGGGAAGGACAAACACAAATGCTGAAATATTTATCTTAAAGTTTTTTAATCTATAAAGTATTTCACTGTAAATATTGCAAATGGATTTATTGTTCACAAAAGAAAAGTGAAATATAATGTTTTGCCTACATTGTACCTTTTCTATTTTTTTCTAAGACCAACATTATGCCTCACCAATTTTTTCTAAGTCCAACATTACGCCTCACCAATTTTTCTAAGTCCAACATTACGCCTTACCAATTTTACTAAGTTCAGCGTTACGCCTGGTTTTAAAAAGTTACGCCTGATACAAGAATTACGCCTGTCCCAAGAGGCGGAAAATGACACGTATTCCGTGTGAGCAAAGAGCAGGAATACGTGTCCTGCTCAAGTACGCCTGGTAAAGACACGTAATTCTGAATTCCGTCTAGAAACCAGCTGGTTTCCATGTCTCATCCAGCTGGTTTACGCCTCACTTGTTCGTACGGGTCAGCATTAAGTGTACAATTTTATAGAGTCATTAACATAATAACGATAGTTTAAAAGTTCTTTTGCAAGCTATTTCTCTGGGGCTCTAGTTTGTTTTTTTTCATGTGCATGGGGGTGGGGGGTGGGGGGGGGTATTGAGGTAGAGAACATTGAATAACAAAAGGATGTTTATTATTCATAGATAAACAAGATTCTATGCATAGGATTCATTTACCCATGCACTTATATGTCTGTATTACTATATTTTGACTTCCTGTAATTATAATGCATTGACCTAAGGGGACACTTATATAGCTATTTAACCACAAACATATACACATATTTGTTAGAAGTCTTTTTACTAGACAACTAAAGCTCGAATCATTATTCAACATGTTTAGTTCTATTTTTAGTATTACGTATTTTGTCAGGTTTATTACCTAGCGGATGTGATCTGATTGGTTGGTGAATGACAGAGTAACTCTTTTTCACTTAATATCTATCTGACCTTCACTTCGCCCAGTGAAGCATACTTTTCACTTGCGTGTTGTTAAACAGTTATAAGAGTTTTTGTGTTATCTGGATCAATTTATCTGATAAAATTTCATATTTAAGGTAAGATATCTATATATAGAGTTTAAAGAGACAAGCTTTCTTTATTGGGTCACAAATTTCCCTGTTTCAACAGAAGTCATGTAGTTATAAATATCAAGGTGTGTATGTGCCAGAAACATAAGCCTTAGTACAAAGGGGATGATCTGATTGGCTGAAAGGTAACCAATCACAACACAGATCAGGGTTGTGATCTCTCCAGGGATATTCCTGATTATCTTCAAAGTAGTTTATTCTTGGAGGAACTATGATGAGTTTGGACTGAAATTGTTGTGTTCTAGTGTAAAATTGATTTTATTAAAACATATCAAAAAATGCAACTGTGTAACCTGCCCTCAGAATCTAGTGGCTTAGGAGTGTCAAAAACTGGTAAGTTTTTTTTTAGGTGAAAAACATGTACTATATATTGATCAGCAGCAGTCACAGCTGGGAATGATTCTGTTGATAAATATAATGCTTAATTTTGTCATCTTACAGTTTTTTTGAGTTTTTTCTGTCATTTCCTTTCATGCAAGCCGAATTATTGTTATTTTTCAGTTCTGCCTCATTGTGCAGCTATAGTCTTCATAAAAGATTCTTTTGGATATATAATGTTTACTTTTGTCTTACAATTTTCTGACAAGTTTCTGTGTCATTTCCTTTTGTAAGAGTGAAGCTATTGTTTTTTGACATTTATGCCACATTGTGCAGCTATTTCTTGATTTAAAAAAGAAGTAGTGCTATGGTTTATTATGTTGATTTAAAAAAAAACTGAAGAAAATTCTTTAAACTCTAGTATATGGTTTACACCCCCCCCCCCCCCCCAGTTGTAAAAGTCAAAAGTCAGATGTGCATGCATGATTTGAGATGACATTGCCTTGCACTTAATTTCAGATGCTACTATGTGATAACTAGCTCTCTGTTTCTGGGCACATGCACAAGTACTTAACAGGAGCACATCCTCTCATTTGATTAATTTCCTTGTTTACACATTTCAATTTTAGACTAAGATGCAAGAGAGTAAATGTAATGATTTATTGATTTGAAAGTGTTAAAGTAAATTGATTAGTGGACTTTGGTTACTAAGATACGTTAAAAATTATGTAGGTACAAAAGTTTTATTGATTTTTTCTAGGAGTGTTGTCTGCAGTTACGTTCAGCTTCACAGGGGGTGTTTTTTAATGATAATTTCCTAAGTGTTTTTCTCGCCCCACAGAGCGATGAATTAAATTGAAATTGGCTTTTATATTTCTAGTTGCTGGCCAGAACAATTTGGATAAGGGATCAGAGAAGATCAATGATTTGTCAAAAGTAGATACTGTGAAGAAGACATCAGTGAAAGTGGAAAAATCAGATGCACAGCAAAAGACCATGGAGAAGAAGGAAGAAATGAAGAAGACTGCCCCAGCCCCCAAGGAGGGGGACAACATCACAGAGAAAAAGGAGGCCACAGAGACAAAGGAGGTAGATCTAAGTAAAGAGTTTGCCAAAATGTCCATGAATGGTGGTGTCAATGGGGGTCTTGTGGACAAAGTCAATGACCCAGAAAAAGAACTCAATACACTGACCAGCAACTTGTCTCTCAATGATGATGATGATGTTAAACTCAATGGAGAGGTCAAATCTCGAGGGCCAAGTGGTGGAGTTGCCAGAGTGCCATTTTCACAGACTCACTCCTACAAGTCATTCAACAACTATGCATGCCAGCCCAACACTGGCTTTAAAGGTGGGAAACGCACAATGGACCATGATGAGTTTTCATATCAGAAGTATGGAAAGCCATTGGATGAACTCTTCACCAACTCTGGTCTGAACCACGAGCTTCAGAACAACATGGATATCAATGCTTATCAGATGACATACTCTGTGGATAAAATGTCAGCTGGTAAATTCATGAAGCCAGTATCGCAGCCAAACTATGAAAGTCCACAAGCATTTAACACTGACCAGTTCCTTGACTCATTGGGAGGCCAGCAGGACAACACAGCAGGTTATGGAGGTAGTACCTTTTTGGACAATACAATGTTTGGAAATTATGGCCATGCACCCATGCCAAATGGGATGCCTACTGGAATGTACAATGGGGGAATGCCCATGATGCCTGGACAGAATGATTGCATAAATGCCAACTTCAGCAACAACGAGCTCAACAACCAGTTGAACAACACATTTTCACCAGAACAGAGTTTTACAGAGAGACAGAATGAAAAATCTGATTATAGTGAAACTGAGTCAGATATGGAGAAAAGTCCTTATTCCTTCACCACTAACTCACCTGCCAGTCAAATGTCACTGAATTCTCCACCACCATCTGTAGACAGTGGATATGGTGGATATGCAGTTCCCAGTCCACAGTCAGACATCAAATCCCCCCAGTCACATACTGGTACCTCCCCACCAAGCACTGCCATGAGTCCAATGCCAGCTTCTACCGAGCTTGATAACACATCAGAATATATTGACAAGAATATGGACAAGCTGCATGATGTGTTGGAAATTCTGGCTAAAGATCTGAAAGACAAAGAAACTCCTAAGCCACAGTATCAAGCTCCTCAAGAAAATTTCAGTCCAAAAGCTGTTCAGCAGAGCCCTGTATCAAGGGCTTTCAGTCCACAGCAAATCAAACCAGTGGTTTCAGCTGCAAATGGATTCCCTCAAACATCTTTGGCAGGCTCTCAACCAAACATGGCTATGAATCTTCAGCATCAAATTTCAACTCCACCCATGCCAATACAGCAACAGCCTTTGTATATGGGATCAAAGCCACAAAAAATTCCCCCAATGACCAATGGTCAGCCTATCAGGATGCAGCCTGCATATGTTCCACAGCCGCAACAAGGCAATACTAACTGCCTCTCCCCAAGCACCCCCACCAGTAATCAGGTCATCATCCTACCCCCTAACACCATGAGCCAGTCAATTCTGAGCCCTACTGCAGGCATTGGCCATGGTCACAACCTAATCAGCAACACTCCCAAAGGAATGGTCCAACCAACCCCAGGGTTGGCTTCTAGTCCAGGCATAATAAAGCCAGCAGTACCTACCACTCAGCCAATCACAACAACAAACTCATTTGTTATTGTTAACAATGCCAATGGTGGAACTCCTATTACATCTGTACCAGTTCCCATCCCAGCTGGGGGGACCAGTCAACAGCCAAATACAATTATCATTGTGGCACCACAACAGCCAGTACAAGCCCCAAAACAGGAGAAAATCAAGCTACGTGAGATTCGACCAAAGATCCCTGGCAATGACAAATGTGGACAGTCCAATGGTGTGCGACCTGCAACCAAGATTCAGGCCAAGGCTCAGCCTAACCCCCAGGTTGTCATGCAGAGAAGAGGTACCATTCATGATACTTGTATTTTGAAACATTTTGTTTTTATTAAAAAATGAATCTATCATAAGAAAAATAATTTGAATTCATTTGCAAAATTTGAAAATATATAATACAATTGATTTTTGTCTTCATTCATTATAGCAATGGAGCAAAAGAAACAAAATTTGATCAATGTTGCCAGAAGAATGGTGGCAGAAATTTCAAGGGAACAACTCCCTTTCCAAGACGATGAAGGTGACACGTAAGTTGCTTGCTTTTCCATTATCATATTTTTAAAGTTGAGACTTTATGATTGCCATGGAAGGGTTATGAATTGGAAATTTAAACATCACTTATTAAGTTACCCTACAAAAGATTTCATTTAATGGATGCTAGATTATTGTGATTATTCTCCATGGGTTTGTGTAGACCATTTTTTTAATAAGTTAATTGGGAAGTCTTGACAACAGTTTAAATGTTTCATGCTTTACATTGTTGGTCTATTGATCACTTTGTGAGGGGACAATTACAACATGATGTCGTAGTTTTCCAGGATGTTTTTTTTTTTTTTTTTTTGCAGAGCTAAACATCATATTAAAGGCAGTTTTATATCTCCACTTCAGTTGATTTTTGTTCTGACAGTCATGTCCTTGTATTGATTTTTTCTGGAGCCAGCAGAGATAAAATGGTTCAAAAACACTCCCAATCCACATGTATTAACAAATCCAGTGTTGAAAAAAATATAATAAATAATAACAGTAAAAACGAAGGGAGATAGAAAAATGCCCACAAACCATTACTGCTCAATTTCTGTAGACAGTAAACAATTCGATGAAAGACATTCTATGACTCATTGTCGCCTGTAATGGTTATTATATCAAAACTCAGATGGGAGGGATAATTGAATGTTGCAAATTAGTGCATTTTTTTTTCCTTAATTTGTTATTTAAAGTTGCTCATGTTTGTTTTTAGTTACCTTCATGTGGCTGTTTGCAAAACAGATTCCAACATGGTGCTGGCTCTGTTGGAGCGACTGATGCGTGAAAATCTCTCTCAGATGATTGATGTTGAAAACAAACACAGACAGGTACACATGCACTTATATATTGAACATAATTTTAACATAAAAGGAAATGTACCAAAATTCCATTATAATTTATTCAAAAGAGCTAGCAAATTCTGTATTGATAGAAAATCTGATTTTTTTTTTTTTTTTTTTTTTTTTTTGCAGACACCTTTGTACTTGGCTGTTGTTGCAAACCAGCCTCAGATGGTGGCCATGTTTGTTCAGAGAAATGCTAATCCAAACAGTATGGCGCAGGTCAGTGAAATGTCATTTACCAGGAGGTAAACCTGTAAACTATATATCCTAGGCAAAACACTATTTTTTTAAACATTGTAAAAAAAAAAAAAAAACTTAAAATATTGTGAAAACTAATTAATGCGCTTACATGTGATTACAAATTGTAAATTGACCATTACTGTTTCACAGGTTGTATCACAAGACGGAAAGTCTATGGAAGTTAAGGCCCCTATTCATGTGGCATCTTCCAATGGTGTTGAGTTCTTAAGCACCTTAAATGAGCTGCTCAAATCTCAAGACCTTTCCCTCAACATTGCAAACTCAGAAGGTGAGCTCTGGATTTTTACAAACTTGTAATGACTATATGATATATAAGGTAAAATATCTCTTGTTCATTGTTAATTATGAGGAAGAAAATGAGGTTCAATTGTTGTGTTTTAGGTCACACTGCCCTACATTGTGCCATCTTAGCTCATGGACGAGCTCAGAGAAATGGAAATGGCTACGTGAACAGTCTGTCTATCATTGAGGCATTAATAAAAGCTGGGGCTGATCCTAATTCTCAGGTAACTAAAATAGAAATATTTTGACAGCAACAAATTATCTTTAATTATATTTAACATTTAAAATGTATTGTCTGATATCTGTCATGTCTACAAAATGTCTAGAAACTCAAACCGAAATAACATGGTTGAATTTAATTGGTTACACATTTAAAACTAATATTTAAGAATGGATGGGGGGGGGGGGGGGGGTAAAGTACAATATTTGAAATATGGTCTTGTATTTTGAAAAAAAAAAAGTTTGAATTATAAAATTGAGATAAATTATTTCCATATTTTCACAGGACAAGAAGAGTGGAAAGACACCCCTAATGTACGCCATTGAAAAGAAAGACTATAATTTGGTAGAGTCAGTGCTCCGGTTATTTGAACCCTCCAAACTCAAAAACATTGTCAAGTCTGCCACGTTTGATGGTAGTTCCTGCATTAAAATTGCTGAAGGACTGAAAAATGATTTTCAGCCAGACACCTGGAAAAAACTCTGGAGTCTGCTAAACAGTGCTTATAATGGCCAGATTCCTTCCAGTTTGCAGGCATTCTGAAGAATCCTTTCTTTCCACCACAAAGCAGCTTGAAGCAGAGATCTTGCAATTTTCATGTTCCATTTTGTAAATAGATTCAAGCTCATTTATGATATAAGTTATTTGTTGCTAATCATTTGTAAATATTGACGATCTCAGAATCATTATCATTGGTCATTTTTATTGTTTTTTACCCTTATAGTAATTCTAACTGGTGCATTCTCATCGACAAATGTATATTTCACATCTGTGCAGAGCTAAAGTTGTTGTAGCTGGATAATTTGTTTGTTGTTGTGTATTTTAAGGTACATTCCTTAAATATCTGTTTATAATTAAGTATGTTAGAGATGTTGGAATTTTTTTTTTATTATATTGAGGTACTTATTAATATTGAACTAGAAGGTTTTACATAAATATAAAATATTTGTCTACAAGGATATTAAATGAAGAAGATAAAATTGATATTCTACAATTTTAACCTTAAAAACAAACACAATCCTTCAAGAAACACTTAAAATACAGACACTGGTTGTACATGTATAATATGTTCAATTACATGCATATGCAATTTGTTTCCATGACATTCTATAAATAGACAAAATAACTCTTGTTGATAGTTCAAGAAATGTTTGTTAATGAACACAATTACTGCTCATTCACCTTGTAGATATTTTACCTTGAATGTTGCTTTTAATATGTACTTGTTATTTTGTCCAGAGTTTTATCTTTAATGTTACGTAATGACTATGTATTTTTAAATGCTCTTAAGGAACTTCAAACAGATATATTTGTTCTGTTAAAATGCTATAATTTTGTCTGTATTCTTTGCTGCATTCAGTGCTACATGGCTATTGTTGGTATCAGAATTAAGTGCTTTGGACGAGGCCCTGGGTATATATTTGGAGTTTTTCTGTGGCCTTGACCTTTGTTGTACAGATATGTTTAATCATTATTTGTGGGTCTGTTAAAAAATGTGATTAAATAAGTACTATTTTTTATTAAAATGTGCCTATTTTTAAAGAGATAACTTCTATATATTTATATTGTGATTTACTAAAGTCTGAATTTCCTCTGTTGCTACTGTTCCCTCCTTTTAATCTTTTGCCACGAAATGGTATCTCTAATTATGCCTTTATGAAATTTGAAGATAGGTTAATTTTTTAAAACAGTCTGTAACTTTGGATGAAATGTAACTAAAACTAAATCTGAAAGAAACTTGGCATTGCACAGAATGGTTTATCATTATGTAAATGAGGCAGCAGCATGAAATAAAACACAAACTCACATGGGCATTGTTATTTCCTGTAACAGTCACTATGACAGTTTACCAAAAGTCTCAGATAAAGACAATATCACTGATATGGATAGAACAACATAGCAAATTAAACACGAGAAAGGTTGAAGGGCAACCTAAACTGGAGTTGTCTTATCACCCCCATCGAGAACACAATCTGAACATGGCATATTTCAAATATTGCATAAACAGTTATTTACACATAAATCTATCATCAGATCATGTTTGCCATGTTTGTCTTTTGTGTAAAGCTTAAGATGAGCCGATTTCATCAGTCTCGTAAGTCAGTGCAAGATGGATCAATATACAATTATTGACTTTTGATGAAGTCTACTCGTGACTATATGGACCTGGTCAGGTATTGATTGACCGAGGCTGAAGGCCAAGGTTAACCAATACCTGACCAAGTCTATAGAGTCACAAGTAGACAGAATTTAAAAGTCAATAGCTGTGTTATTAAATACTAGTAATCTTTAAATTTACATCATTTTTGACACTTTAAATCTTAATTGTCTCCAACAAATATATATATTCATAATATAATGTGTAGTGCAACAACACACTATAATTATATTTCAACAGTTAAAAGTGGAAAATAATACATGTAGTATAAAAAATCTATACTAAACCATTTAATAAAAAAGGAGGTAAGTCTTTTTGGTACTGGCATCTGCCATGTTTTCATTCACAACTACATATGCTTTAAAACACACAATTTGATTGGTCGATAAAAAATTTAAGCAAATCTATGGTTGGTTGAGGGAAAACACAAAGAATCCTCCCAAAACTTCATTTCGAGGTGAACTCACTCTGAAGTATACCTCCGGACAGGGAGTGTAGACCAATCAGAGAGCACCAAAATTCCTGATCATTTAATACATGTATGCATTTTAGCAATATATACAGAGATGCATCTATTAGTTTGCTTTGGATACCTTTTGTGATAATCCAGTCCAGAGCATTCTCAGAAAAAGTCTTCATACAGAGTTACTTCTGCATAATGGTAAATCAGAATCAGGTACAATCAGAATCAGTGTGATCTAGACAGGAGGTGACTTAACAATGCCCCCCCCCCCCCCCCCCCCCAACACACACATAAGAAATATGTTATCAAATGAACCTGGTAGCAAATTTTGTGTGTGAAATATGCCTGACATTTCAGGAAAATAATTTGTTATAACAGTCTTGCTGTTCATTTTAATACCTTGTTTAATGGATTACTGCAACTCTTCAGGAACTGGTGTCTGGACTAGAGTCTTTAGCAACTTCAGACCATGATGAGTGAAAATCATTTTCACTTATGGGTTTCCATGGGTAAAAGATAAACAAATAATGTCCCTACAAATCCCCATGATATTAATTTGTACAATTAAAAGTGAACAAATTTCTGATAGGCTAACTACAAGATCTCAGGCTTAGATCTAAATGTGTCTTGGAGAATACAAAAATCATGACCTATAAAATTACTTCTTGATTAAACTGGCTTCAAATGACTAGCTAGTGCCAGAACCTTTCAAGTCCCCAAGATGAAAAAAAAGAAAACAAACCAATTACTTAATTACTAAGACGGAGACTATTGGTTAACTTATGTAAGTCAAAAATAACATAACAACTGATATTTCAGAATCTATACGATTTCTCTCATAACCTTTAGTTCATTACCATGCATAATTTATTACTTGTCTGTGGCATTTATTGTTGTTAAGGACATGAACTTCATCAGTACATCATGTTATACATTTAGAAATTTGTTCTTAAATTCTGACTCTTAGCTCTTCTTTGAAGTCATCTTCTAATTCTGAATATATAACTTAACAAAAGCCACTCAGCAAGGTTTGAGAAATTTATTAATTAAGATGTGTAATTCTTTGCTGATTGTCAACAATAACAAATATATTAATTATATAAACTTGATATCACAGGTTATATATCACAGTCAAAACGGAGAAAATAAGTTAACAAAACATCAAAAAGACTTAACTAATTCAATATTCAAATATACATATTTAATTATATATAATTTGCCATAGCTTTAGATAAGGCTTTCATGTCATTAATATCTATAACAGAAAAAAAGATTAACAAAGTCTCCATGTCATGGTGTGCACACTCTAGAAGTGTTTGCTGAGAGCTGGTCCATTGGTGCCCTTCTCGTAGAAGGTAGTGACGGGGGGAGGACCATTGGTAGCCCCATAGAATGTTGTGATGGGTGGTTTCTGACCATCTTCCAGGAACGATTTTTCAGTGCGCAGGCTGTTAAATGTGTCCTGTCTATAGAAACTGTCCTCAAAGAAGAATGTTCCTTTGCCCTTTCCGATGTAAACAGCATCACCATCAGAGTGCATTCCTACAGAGAGACAGGCATGTCAGACATGTTTTCTAGTGATTATCTATACAATTTAGACATAACAGAGATATAATTTGCATAAATGCTATTTTATTCAAGCATTAAATAGAAAATTTTGGCAATTCCTAATATTGCAGATAAATACATTTTGCCAAAGGCTAAATTGCCAAAATACATTATATTGTGTAAGTTCATCATTTAATGTTTGAATGCCAAAACAGTTTTTTAAATTACTCTGTTTGACAAAAGTACAGAAAAACCCAAGGCCTTAGTGTAAAGCATAAAAAAATCTGTATCTACTGTTCAAGTTACCCATAACCAATATTTTTTTCACCCAAAACTGCTATTAAATTTTGCAACAATTCATGTAGTATTAGAACAATAGCTAAGGAAAAATAAACATGGCATGATTTCAAATCAAGGGATATGTTCTGGAAAAATTTTCAAAAAGTTAATTTGAGTGTATGTGACTCTCTGTAGGTACTTAACAATTAGGGAGATTCTACATGTAACTAAAACATTAGTATATAAGCAAATGATCTTCAGTTCTTCACAACATACATATTGTGTGTGTGTTTGTGTGTGTGAAATGTTATTTCATTCATTCATTTTTAAAAGCTGGATCCGGTATCTACAAACATAAGGATGAAGGAAAATGAAAAATGTTAGGTGGGATTATTTTGAGCAATATCAACTCCATTAGTTAATAGAAACCAGCTTTTCTCTGTTTACCTGATAATCCTCCAGAAATACTACCTCCTATTAAATGATATATAAATGTAATACATGCTTTTCTAAACTTATCCAAATTTATAGGCAAGAAGTTGATCAAGAAGAAAATAAAGGGCTAAATCTTTTGGAAAAACTGTAAACATGACTAAAATTTTTGATGAATGCTGCAATTTAAATCACCAACTGCTTTGCACAAACAATCCATGAATATTCTAGTGCATAAAGCTGCAGGACTGCAAGTGAATAACCCTGTATTCCATGAAAAATTAGATCTCCTACCTTGTTTATAATTAAACCCTATTTATTTTACGTGAAAAAAGAGTTTACTTTCATGCTTCAATGAACAATTGCTGACAGATAAGATACCAAAGGAGCCATTTTGAATGTCAAGCAACACCAAAAATGACACAATGTTCTTAATAAAATTTAAAAAATCATTTCTTTTTTGGGCCCTTGTTTGATTTTGCATTAAAAGGTTTAGGGGTAATATCTGCATAAAACTGTCCCGTTTTCAGTGGATGCACATCAAATCAATATGTCCTATTAGCAATGTAATCCTTCATTTTTTACCATTCCAGGTAATCTGTAAAAACTAGGGCAATGCAGTGGTCTGAAATCTTCCCTCTCTATCATTTAGCAGTTCTTTTCAGGAAATATGGAGGAGGAACATGATATTTATGTAAACTAGCAGGAAAAGAACTGGAATATTGCATGCATGAATCACCAAAAACTAACAGCTTAAAAAGTCAACTCCTAAACTAAAACAGAGTGCCTATTATATCTTATCTGTCAGCAATACAGGTATTAACTGCAGTGTAAAATTCTCTTAGTAACAAATGTCATTAAACTTGTAATTCCAATAAAGGCCCATAACTCTACTGAGTAATTTTGGCAGTTAAAGCTTGTTACTTGATGTCAACAGCTTAGCTGATAAAATTGTTTATCAGAATATGATAGTCATTCAATGACTTACTGTGCGTCTTTGTCTTGGGGTAGACTTTTAGTCTCCAGACCATAATGGCCACAATGATGAGAATGATGAGCAGGATGGAAATACAGATGCCAACGATCATCAAAACCTTGATTTCTTTATCCTCGTCATCCTGAAAAACCAGAGACAGGAGGTGTCAATGTTGTATCATAAATTAATACATCTGGGGAAAATAAGAACCAAAATGTACTTCAAATGCAGTAAGCTATCATGCATACAGACTTAAACCGAAGTATAACCACACAAAGAATGCATTTACCTGTATCATATATATATACAAACTTTAATATATAGGTTATCATTGCACAATGGTTAAAATAGTTTTGATTTATTACTAACCTCTTAAAATGTATCATTATAGAGAATATGTCATTTTAAGTCATTATGTGTAAGTAGTACCATAAAGCATGCTTATATCAACCAATTGCCAGGGATGGACAACTTTGCTTTGTTATAAATGTAATACATGTATGTAAAGTTAAGTTCACAAAATACTTAGTATTTTAGAGCCATGGGGAATGAAAAATTACTTCGCTGTATGCATCAATTCATTATAATCATTTTCACTATAAGTGTGTTTTACTGTATATATCTATATCTATATATATCAATATCTGTGTGTGTGTGTGTGTGTGTGTGTGATCAGACTGCAATTTTAAATAATTTTCCATGATTTTATATGAATGTTTATATACAGATCAGTGAATTTAAAAATTTTCCATCACCTCCATCACATATTCTCCATATGTCTAAAAATAAATGTATCAAGGCTTTGCTGCTCATTAAAGAGAAGAATTATTAAAATAAATGTTATATTATCACATTTCTCAACCAATTAAAACACAGCTGGCTGACCTGTTTATCACCTATGTTGTCTTCTCTTGAAACGTGAACTTTTAAAACACATGCATAATTCACCACG